CTCTTGCAAAGAGAGCAGCTGCTTGTGGTACAGCCATTAGAGAAAAAGTGTTTGTGTTTGGAGGCCTTGATAATTCAACAGCTGGAGATCCCTGTGAAATGTATGATCCAGCTACCAACATGTGGAGCAGCATTCCAAGTGTGGTCGCACCAAGATATCAGGCAAGTGCTGTGAGTTTCAAAGGCCAAATATATGTTGTTGCCAATTTTCAAAATCAGCAGCTGAGCTTACGAGGATGGTCGCTGCAGGTGTATGACATTGATAACAAGAATTGGAATTGCTGTACAGATGATTTACTAGGTGGTGGATTTTTCAAAATTTCTACTCTACGAATATTAAGAGATGATTTGGCTAAATGCAAGGAACTTTCATCGTCATGATCATTGCTTCAATTATGATCGTCGGGTTTTATTATAGTCCTTTTATTGCATGCATTAGATGACATAGTAATTTACATGTATTACGCAACAAGTGTAAAATATGATAAACAATGCAGACTTGCCAACTCTCTCAGTTTGATCATCAATGTCATGGTTTGGTTTATCGTCTACAGTCAACTCTCTCCAAGACAGACTCCATCTAGACTGGCACCAAGAGAGGTGTCTGGCTTATAGAGAGTTAAGATGCAGTAAAATGACTGACAAACGGCGTGCAAGGACCAACACCAAGTGTCCATTTTATAGAGGTGTCTGTCTTATAGAGGTGTCTGTTAAGAGAGAGTTGACTGTGTTACCATCTCAATTTGATCTCCAAATCTCATGATGAACAAAACATCTGGAAACTGCTACATAATTTAGGTTATATCATAGCTGATTGTATTGTAGCTCTTGGTTCAATGTTTTTATATGAAACCAACCACATTCCTAGGAAATGTGGGTGCACTAATGACACTTGTTGGAAAGCAATAATATTATTATAGCAAAATTTCATTTGGAGGAGAAAATGGCGAATTTTTGCGAGTGATGCTTTTGGAAATCTCCAGGTTTCAGGAAGGAACTATTATACAGGATTTGTTATTGTTATTTTGGAAACCTCCAAAAATTCAAAAATGTTAGTTACAGTATATTTACCTTTCAGTTAATTACCCAGTCGGGGGAACAAGTACCAGTTGATGGAGATTTCCCACCTCCGATATTGGACTGAGCCCGGCCGCTGTGTTTGTCCCCAGAAGTTGCTAAGCAACATGACGTATTTGCTGGTGCGACTGTTTTCGGAGTAGCCGTAAGTGTTCGCACTAGTCTCTGATGGGATAAAAAGATTTGGAAACTCATCGACTCCTTCCACAAAGATTTGTCAAGACCGGTACTTGTTCCCCGACTCACCGACTGTACCAGTAGATACAGGTTTGAGTTGTTGTTTCAGTTGAATGCCGTTTATGTTGAGGAGCCATCTGCATAAATGTTGTAGGTTATTTAACCCTTTCTGGCCTTTCACTCCCAAGAGTGCTAAGTTCAAAAATCTTGAATTTCACTTTGCAAAATTATCAAAAACAGACAGCACCACATGAAAGTACTGCTCAATGGCTTTCATTTGAATGGTCACACACTCGGGTTTCATCCTTTGACTCGATCTGGGAGTGAAAGGGTTAATAGCTGATTGTCCAGGTATACAGGTACAGTATACAGGTCGACACAATGCCTCAGCTACCAATATCCTGAGGAGTCCATGTGTGCTGTATATAAGTATGCCGATACATGAATTGTACCATACATGACGTACTTACTGTTTACTGTATAATATACGTCCCCATACATGAAGTACTTACTGTTTGCTGTATAATATACGTCCCCATACATGAAGGTACCTACCGCAAGTTTGACGTGCGGCGCGATTTTCTCCGTAGTTCATTTCATCATGAGCTATAGGAGACGTGAGTTTTGGCTAAATAAAAGCAAATTACTTACAAAGAAGTAGTCCTTTGTCTTTAAGAGTAGTTCTCTGAGAAAGTGAAGCAAAGTTGGAAATTAAAATTTTCAACCCCCCTTCATTTTTGTGTGGAGGTAGGTTACCTGGGGGTATGAACAAAAACAGCCATATTTGGGTCGGCAGATTATTGTTGCCATGGTAACCGCAATTGATCACGCCAGCCTCAGGTCCATGTTCCGAAAAATAAAATAAACAAGTATGGTTCTCGCGTGCGTGTGAATCAATTCAAATGAAATTCCACCAGGGTGTAGAGCCATTCTTCTGGTGTATAAAACTCGCTATAAAAATATTTTGATTTTTATGAACTAGGAAAAAATGGTCGATCTACCATGTTGCCCGTCAGCCATTTTGACAAGTATGAAAAACAAGCATAACATATATATCCGCAATTTCTCCAAAAGTACTCTTTTCCCAGAAACCAAATTAGCAGCAGAGCTTACATGGATATTGAAGTTTCTAAATATCATAAAATCGATTTGGGGAAAATTATATTTTGGCCGTGGGTGCTGAAGACATCTGAGGCAAAAAATTGTAAAAAAAATGCAAAATTGGCCGTTTTGATATACCTGCCAACTCACGCATTGTGCGTGTGTCACACGCCTCCGGATCGAAAACATCGATCACACGCATACAGGACAATTTCACACGCCTGACTCACAATTCCGGACTACTTGTTCATTAACCATTAACGTGAAAAATTGGATTCAATTTCCACCCAAAATAGTCCAATGAACGGCGCTTAATGTCGCGTTTGAGATAAGCGTGATCTTGGCAAGATGGCGCCGAGATTTTTAGCTTCGCACCGCGACATTCGGCAGCCTTCGGAAATCATCGGAACATCTTCGGGAATCTTCGGCAATGTTCGGAAGTCGTCGGAAAATCTTCGGCAATGTTCGGAAGTCGTCGGAACATCTTGGCAATGTTCGGAAGTCGTCGGAACATCTTCGGCAATGTTCGGAAGTCGTCGGAAATTTTTCGGAAATTCGGGTAATATACGAAAATCACACGCAGTCGACTTAGGAAAAGTTGGCAGGTATAGTTTTGAGGCTCCACTATTTCGCCCAAAAAGGCTTTTATAGAGAAAAAGATTCGGCTTCATAAGTATTTTCTATCATCTTTTCTGTTAACTACATTTAATTGATAATGTTTTGGCCCGCGAATTTGGTGAAATATAAATTGATTTACAAAGCCTACCTTGCAAGAACTTGCAAGTTATGGCAACGAGAATGGCCAAAGCCAAGCTTACACGCATGCGCACAGCCTATTACCCGTGCATATTAATAAGCGCAAAACAGCTGTCCATGGCTGCCCAAGGATGCTCTATGATTGGTTAAAACAACTCGCGCCACCTACTCAACCAATCAGATGCAAAACCAACTGCGACTTGGTCGCACGCGTTTTCCCGCGCTTGGCGCCGGTTACTTGTATTTGCTTCCAGTCGGTCATTGGTTCGTTATGTTGTTTATGTTTTTTGTGATTGGCCGTTGTAATTGCTTTGGTTTTGGCAAGCACACTCGAGCATGCGTGGGAGTAAAATAGGAAAAATTGTATGGACGGATGGTGTCTACGGAAAAAGTTGAATTATTTCTCTATTTTATTTCACGCACGTAAAAGCCAGTAAAATTCAAGCCCGCTAACGTGTTAAATTAAACGTTTAATTTGGACCAACGCAAACTGTCCACATTCAACTTTTTCCGCAGACTCGATTCATTTTCTCTATTCTATTAAAAGCACGAGCTCAGAGTTAAGTTGACAGACGTTTAAACACAGTTGCGGAAGCAGCAAGCGAGGAAATATTGTTGCTCATAATGTTTCTCGGGTGAGAAAACGAGCGAACCAAGATACATTTCGGAAACATTTGTTGCGGCCAATGTTTTTGAAAAAAATTCAAAAACATATTTTGCGTCTCGGACGCAAATTTTGCGTCCGCAACAAATGTTGCGTGCGCGGACAAACAGGGAAACATTTGGGAAACATAATGCAATGTTTCCTCGTTTGCCACGGCCTTTTGTTTCCCAAAATGTTTTCCTGTTTGTGCGCGCAAGCAACATTTGTTGCGGACGCAAATGGACGCAAAAAATGTGTCTGCCAGAAACATTTTGCTTCTGCAACGAATTTTTCTGAAATGTTTCTTGGTATTCGCAGCAAGGAAATGTTTTACTTCCCGCTCGTTTGCTCACCAAAAGAAGACATAATGAGCAACAATGTTTCCGCAACAGTGTTTCCTCGTTTGTCACGACCTTCAGACGTCAATGGATGATATGATACGGGACTTAACCTGAATGCCATTTTTCCGCGACTTAACATGGGTTAAATGGAAATATCTGGTTGACGTTTCAAGCAATCCAAAAACTCTATGCTCATCCCATGAATCTATGTTATGGGGTGTTTTGTAAATTTTGGGGTATATTTGGGAGGAAATAGTTTTTCTCAAAGGAGTTGTAAGATTTAGGGAAATGAGAAATATTGAAGATTTGATGTAGTTTTAAAATTAGAATTTGAAGTTAAAAATTAGTAGATTGACATTGACAGACAGTTGATAACCACACAAGAGCACCCGCGTGGGTATCAACTGTCTGTTGGTGTTCCAAAAATTATTTTCTTTCTTCTATTCCTTCTTTAAACCTCTTAAAATTTCCTTGAAATTTAGGTGAAGTCCCCTCTTAATTATGACATTATTTGCGGAGTTCCACTGCACTGAAGCCCCTGACTGAAGCATTATTTGACGTGCGTAAACGGGCGTGAATTTTACTGGCTGCATTATGGAGTGTCAGTGAAAATAAAGTTGAACAAGTGCAGCTGTGGCAACCTCGATTCCAGGCTCTCTCTCCTTTTCCTCCCTTGTCGTTGAGTAGAGACAAGGGAGGAAAAGGAGAGAGAGCCTGGAATCGAGGTTGCAGCTGTGGTTCAAACCATACCGAGGTTTCTGATTTTACGCACGTACATCCCTTGACTCGCGTGATCCAACTGGCTTTCCAGAATATTCCTTGTTTTTTTCGTTTCTTGAACAGTTGTTTTCACCAAGAAAAAAAAACAGCGAAAAAAAGTGAAACAAGAACTCCTACTCCCACGAGTCTCCTGTAGCTCAGTGGTAGAGCGTCCGACCGGTGTTGCGGAAGGTCATAGGTTCGACTCCTGTTGGGGGAACTCGGAATTTTTTTCCGAGTAGCTTGTGTCACTGACAGAATAATATGTTTCTCAAACTCCTAAAGTAGTTTACAAGCGGCCGATTAATAGTGGGGGAAACAACAATCGATCTCTGACTCCTCCCCCTAGGTCACTGTACTCTGAGGTGCACCCTCAAATGAGAGTCAGCATACGAACCTGCGTGACGAGAAATATAAATATAAGAAATACGTGAAATTAAGTTTCGTTACTTCGTGTCAAGACCCCTCCATTTCCTGCTCTGTAGTGACTCTCTTCTCGAATAGTTGAGGTTATTTTCCCTTGTCTAATTAAATATTTCGCTTTACATGAAAAGAGCACTTACACGACACGAAAATCGAGATTTTCTCTCCGCGGTCACTGGACTCTGAGGTGCACTCTCCAAATCCACACACACGAACCTGCGTGACGAAAAACGTGACTGTCTGTTGTATTATTGCATCATGCTCCGGAAGCCGGAGAAATTCTCTTGTGGTTAATTTTAGCTAATGTAAATTGCATCATGTTCAACGAGGGCAAAGATATGTTTTCGCTCAACGTGAAAATAAATTGTGAATGACATATATGCTGTGGAATTGTGTTAAGAAAATCTGTTATCTTTTTGGGACCGGGTTTTTTCGTTCGTTTACTGGTTGAGGTGCATGTATTAAACAGAACAGAAATTCTCTAGTGGCTATTTATTTGCATGTCTCCTGATCCTGGTTACGTTTACAATGTAATGGGAAAACCCCTCTTGACAATTGCGTCATGTTCTCAAAAGGTCAGTCATGCGTTTTTCCTCGTAAATAAATTGTGGATGACATACTGTAATTGTATGAAGAAAAACTGTTATTTTCCCTTGTCTAATTAAATAGTTCGCTTGTTAACCGGGCGTGGGCCTGGGGCCCAGTCCGGTTAGTAAAATAGCTTCTGTTTTTTTTTGTCGTGATTCACCTTATACCTCTTCTTCGCCAAAGTGCTAGGAGGAGAGCTAGGGGTGAGTATGAATATATATAGATGTTATTGAACTAGCGTGAGGTCCGTATTGGGAAAATATTGGTCGAGTTCTTTTTTTGCAAGTTTATGGACCGAGCCGAAGGCGAGGTCCATAAACTTGCAAAAAAAGAACGAGACCAATATTTCCCAATACGGACCGAACAAGCTAGTTCAATAAAGTTTTTATTATAATGGCTTTTTAAAAAATTTGCTGAGAAATTAGTGCAACCATTCTCGGCTAACGCGCGCGCGCCAAAGCTAAGCATATTCTTGCATTTTTCAGGCCACTTTGCGAAAAGTTTAACCAAAATTGTCCGCCAGACATGAGGAAAAAATGTTCTACTTAATAGAAAACAGTTTTCTTTTGTTCAATGTTTCATAAAAGGAATTTGGTGAAATAAGTTCGTGAGCGGTCCATCTTTGCGGTCCGTATTGCAAAATTCGGACCGCTCAGGGAACCAATCAGAATGTTCCTTTTCATCGTGGACCAGTTTGCCATATAATAAATGAATGTATTCGCCTTGTGAAAGATTTTCTCGGGAAGAACGAAGCCCGGACTCGAGAGAGCGGCGGAAATCGAGCCTATGTGAAAGTTGGACTGGTCCAAATAAATATTAATTTAGGACCGCGTAAACACATCGGAGCGGCGTACAGATTTCGCAACGTCGGTGAGTTTGACTCGTCAAAATATTAAATCATTGTACTCACTACTAGGTGGACACACTAGGAGCGCCATTAGATCAATTTTTTTTATCAAGGCTACGTTACATTTCGCCAGGGTCATAATATTGTCCTGTTTGTTTTGTGTGAAATACATTTCTTTTCCGTAAAGGAAAACAGAAACTTACCCAGACTCGCAGATTTATGTAAACAGAAACTTGCTGAGACGTGCAGATTTTTATTTGGACGATTACGTCATAGGGTCACGTCGAATCGTGACTTGAAGAGATTGTCTGTGAGGTGCGTACGTACATCACATACACTGGAAGCGCCATTAGATCAATTTTTTTATCAAGCGACGTTAGATTTCGCCAGGGTCATCCTTTGCCTAAATGATATTTTATGAATATTGTCCTGTTAAATAATTGTCGTTTTGTGTGAAATACATATCTTTTCCGTATATTTTCTGAGAAAAACAGAAACTTGCTGAGAAATGCAGATTTATAAATAAGGACGATTACGTCATGGGGTCACATGAGTCACGTCTAACTGTGACTTGAAGAGATTTCGCAACGTCTGTGATAAACCAGGGTCGCCGTTAGGTCAAATTTCATATCAAGCTATTACTTTTGATTTGAACATGAATACTCTGCTGTTTATTTAGTGTGAAATACATTACTTTTTCGTGTTGGTGCAGCAATTCACTTCCTTGTATGCAGAAGATTTATAAATAACAACCATTACGTTACAATATCACATTTTGACTCACGCAATTTGTCGAACTGTGACTAGAATAGCTGCGAATGATGATGGTGCAACGCGGAACGTCTGCGATTGATGGTTCAACACCGATTCGTACCTATGTTGTCGTGTTTTTTCCTCTTATTCAACTTTGGCTTCATATTGAGGAATGATCTTCAAAGACTGCTCAGAGGCAAGAAAATTGACAGTAGGCACTATACGCAAACATCAGACTTCAGCGTAACTGCCGTGACTAATCTGATAGATTTCAAGCAAGAAAGCAGGTAAAACGGCTTGCTTGCTTGATAAAAAAAAGCCCGGTTATATTTTCTTCGAAAATTCTTGTTTCTTTACATGAAAAGAGCACTTACACGACACGAAAATCGAAATTTTCTCTAAACGTAGGAAGAAATTATACAGAAAGCCCGTGGAAGAGAAATTCTCTAGTGGCTAATTTTAGACTGAATGCATCATTTCAACCGTGTGGAGGACTGAGGTTAGTGCGGAAAAAAAAGTCCATTCCTTGAAGCGGCCGCCCTATGGGCGTCGGCCGCTTAAATGTAAAATAACTAACTCAAATAAAATAACTCAACTTATTTTCGAAACGTTCTTTTTATGCCTCTTATAAGTCCCCCGTGGATATACCCTACTCTTTCAAACAATGTCGTGGGTTCTTTTATTTTACGTCCCCTTCGAATTGACATGTACGATGAAGGAGACTAGGCCAATAGCTTTACGCGATCATCTGAACTGTGACAACTCACAAGGTGTATTTAGCTTTTTTTAATTTCGTTTTCCAGGGCATCAACTTCTACTTGGACGTCAAAACAATCACAAGTCTTTGGAGGGACGAAGACGCTGAAAACCTCAAGGCGACAACAGCTTTCCCCACCATGAAGTAAACCAAGAAAAAAACATCAGCATTTAAAATACGAAACTCTCCTTCGGCAGTTAAGCACGAAATAAAAACTACTACTCCAAAGTCAACTGCAATAAACCGCGATCTAGTGTGAATATTACTACAGGGAAAGAACGATCATGGGTGAAAACCAATGCAGCTTGCAAATTGTAGCCGTTCTTGCCCTGACTCGTCCCCAGTCGTCTCTCTTGTCTCCTGTTAACAAAGGAGACAAGAGAGACGACTGGGGACGAGTCAGGTTCTTGCTCGCTCAACGTTGCTACAGATGTTTAGCTACAGACCAAAAGTTGAATCCCCATAGCAACGGTGATGACGATGATGGCGGCGGCTACAGCCATAGGCTAAAACCAAGGCTGCGCTATCTAATATCGATTTATATGGGTACTGCTATTTAACGAGCGACTAATAAATGAAATAAATGTCGACCATACTAATTCTCTAGTAGCATTAGTACTAAATAAATAAATTTTCCTACAAACGATGCCGATTTTAGTTTTATTTGTTTCCATATCGTCGCTACTGGACCCACCCTCGACCCACTTCGCCGCTTTTAGATTCTCGTCTAGGATGGCCCACAGGGGCAATACAAATTTATCTATTCCAGTACAAATATATATATTCTAGTACAAATTTATCTATTCCAGTAAAAATATTTCTATTCTAGTACAGATTTATCTATTCCAGTACAAATTTATTTATCCCTGTACAAATATCTATTCCAGTACAAATATTTCAAATATTTCCGCGCACAAGGCCTGGGCCAAACAACAACAACATGGCTGCCACGATGTCGTGCAGCTGTGGAGACAGGAACGTTTCTGAGGAAAGGCAGCTAATTGAATACTATTTTAAGAGAGGCCACGACGGATAAAACGATCGTCCATTTGCTTTCGAAACAACACGGGATTGATATGTGCGAGCGAACTTTGAAATCCCGTTTACAAGAGTATGGACTGCGCCGTAGGCTCCACACGTTCCTGTCTCCACACTGAGGACAAAAGTTGTCGGAAACGTCGAGGTTAATAGCCCCACAGCTGCACGACATTGTGGCAGCCATGTTGTTTTGCTCTGGATGTTTGGCCCCAGGCCTTGTGCGCGGAAATATTTGTACTGGAATAGATATTTGTACTGGGACATATATTTGTACTGGGATAAATAAATTTGTACTGGAATAGATAAATCTGTACTAGAATATAAATATTTGTACTGGAATATATAAATTTGTACTAGAATATATATATTTGTACTGGAATAGATAAATTTGTACTAGAATATATATATTTGTACTGGAATAGATAAATTTGTACTAGAATATATATATTTGTACTGGAATAGATAAATTTGTATTGACCCTGTGGGCCACCGTACTACGTCCCCAGAGCGCTTCGAATCTCTTAGCCTGCGCGGCCCAAGACTTCCCACAAGTCGTCTTCTTTAAGCGAAACCGAGCGACGAGGAAACCAAAACCAACGAAAGGGAAAAATCATATTGGAAAGGGCTTTTAGAAAGACTAATTCGAGGGAGGCGCTTATTTTATTTTAACCAAATCTTGGCCAAAAGGCCAATTATTTTTGTAATATCATAAATGGCGATAACATGTCGATAAACTGATCGAAAACAAATGCCACTTTTATCATATGGACAATGGTACAATTGGTTAACTTGATCTGTAATCACAAACAGGAAA